CTTGCGGATGACGCCCCCGGCGCGTATGATCCTGGAAGCGAGTGCCAGATCCGCTGCATCCACGAGCCGTCTGGGCAACAAACAACATTGAACGAAGAGCCCCAGGCTCACCGGTAAAAAACAACATAGACAAAAGTGTAACAGTAAAACATGTTTTGTCCTTGAGGCGCTGCTGCTGCGTGCGGCTCGATGACTCGAGCAGCGAGATCTCGTTGGACCTGTCGGTTTGCTTTGGGGACCTCTTATTCAAGGCGCGGAGGGTTCCACTGAACCACTGAACTCCCCACTCCCTGCCTTTGCTTGGAACTCCTTCTCTCCCTCTCTCTCCCTCTCTCCCTCTCTCCCTCTCTCTCTCTCTCTCTCTCTCTCTGTCTCTCTCTCTCTCTCTCTCTCTTTCGTCTTGTTCGGCTTTCTGCTTAGTAGGAGGACGGCTCCGACGTTTTGGGGTGCCGGCTGCATCTCCAGCTTCCGCCGGAGCTCGCCGTTCACCGAGTTCACCTTTCCGGGATCAAGCAGAAATCGCTTATGTAAAACCGCTTTGAGGTTTTGCTTCTCCTTGAGGCTTGCTTTTTGTGCTTGCTTTGAGGGGGTTTGGAGTTCTAGTGCCATTCCTGATTTTTGGCATTTTGGGTTCTTTTGATGTGCCTCCTCTCTCTCTCAGGGCTTTGGATACCGGCTGAGCCAATGGGCTTATTGCTTTCGGACTGGATAGAACTCAAGGTTTCAAGACGTGTATGAGAAGAAGGGGCAAGGAAAACCTGTACCATAGCAGTTCACCTGCATCGTGCGCGTGGATCCAAAGCAGTGTTTGCGGTTTCCAAAACAACTCTCAACCCCTACATACTCCTACTGTCGTCTCTCTAGTCAAACCCTTGAAACTTTATGCCCCGAAGTGCCCATGGCGCTTCGGCGAACACAAAATTCTAACCACAGCCCGGGCTACAGTTTACAGTTGTCCAAGCCCGTTTGCTGGGCGCTCGGCGTCTGCCAGGCGCTTCATCAGTGCCTCCCCCCCTTTGGCCAGGCCCAGCCTCATGTGGACAACAAATCTGGGGACACTTTGAACCCTAAAAATGTCTTAAGGACTTGGGGCAGCTTCAATTTGAGGACTGGGGTATCAGCCTCAACCAAATCTCTTCATTTTGATTGCACGGATCCAAGAAGCCACTAACTTTAGACTTCGCTCCCGAATTGTTTTCGCAACTCAAGCCCCAAAGCCTGTGTATCCCTAAACTCCAACATCCCGAACCTGTTTCCTCCAAAAGGGCCCGGCAGTTCACTGGATTCACGGCGGGCACCCGGGCTTGCGGGCCTCAAGTCGAGGTTGGAGCAACACTCAAGGATCCTGGAGGTAGACCCAAGCACGGAGCTTGAGTCCTTGAAGTCTAGGTATACCAGATTTCATGTACTTTTTCTGCATGGCAACGTGCATAAGGCAGGCAGGGCACTGGGCTTAAGAACTTTCTCAAGCCCGGGCAGACCATCCGGCACGGCGAGCCCGCGAAGGACAGAACTGTTCCGCTTTGAACGGGGCAGCGGAGTGTACGTTACTAGTGGTCCCCGTTCTCACTGTCACTGTTCTCGTTGACGGTGTTCTCGTTGCCGGTGTACTCATGGTGCGTGTGGACGGTACCAACCGTGCCTTCGAAGAGCCCGTCCCCTGTGGACGTCGTGCCTGTGGACGTCTTTCCTGTCCCTTTCCTCCATGCGTTGTTTTCTGTGGCGGTAGCACTCCTGGAGGTCGTCCGTGTCGTACTCTTAGTCCCTGTCGCCGTCTTGTCGTTCTTGTTCTTTCTCTTTGTATTTCTCTCTCTCTCTCTCTCTTTCTCTCCTTCTCTCCTTCTCTCTTTCTCTCTTTCTTTCTTTCTTTCGGAGGGCGTGGAGGCCGGAGCCCCCGGGCGTCATCGCCCGCCCCTGTTTCCGGAGCGGTGCTGAGGTTCGGTGGGAGACAGTGGTGTGAGGTTGCGTTTTCTCTCTTTCTCTCTTTGTCTCTTTCTCTCTTTCTCTCTTTCTCTCTTTCTCTCTTTCTCTCCTTGTCTTCTTCTTCTTCTTCTTATTAATCTTCTTCTTCCCCTTCCTCTTCTTCTACCCTCTCTCTCTCCCCCTGGGCACAGGCTTCCTTTCCAGAGTGGCCGGGTGCCCAAACCTGGACCATATGCATTGCGAGACCCCACCTGTCCCCCGGCCCCCGATGCAACCGGCGGCTTCTCCGTACCAAACTGCGCCCCTTGATACTTCAATGGCTGCTTACTGGCTCAAGCCGGGGGCTTGTCCCGGCTTGAGCCGAAATGGCTACGGCTTCTCTCTCTCTCGGTGTTAAGCTAGTCAAGAAAACACCCAAGCTTTTCTAAACCTCGGGCTCCGTTGAGCGCGGCGCCCGTTTTGCGCGGCTTCGGGCAGCGTTGGCAGCCCAGGCCTCGCAGGCCTTCACTTTGGAAGCTTCTCTTTGCTCTCGGGTTCTGTTCAGCTGTACATGGGGATGGCTAGAAGATCTGGCCTTGTCATCCAGCTTTTCTGCCCAGTTGCTCACAGCCCGTTGAAACTGAGGAGCTGAGCCCGAACAATGTTCCAAATCTCCAAATCTAAGACTCCTCAGCTCAAGAGGCCTGGGAGGTCTCGAGGCCTCTGAAGAGTTCGACCTCCGGGAGGCCTGAGAGGGGGAGGCTGCCCGGCCTGGCAAAGGAGATCGTGGCATGTGAGGGGGGGGATGTAGGCAGGGTGTAGGGATGTGTAGGGTCTTGAAGCCTTCAAACAGCTTCGACTTTTTGTTCTGTTCCGCCTCACTTGGCCAACCGACCCTGGGTGTCTACCCGCCTCAGCCCACCCCCGCCCCCTGTCCCGCCCCCGCCCCCTGCCCCCGCCCCTGTCCCACCCACCCCTGTCTCCCAACCGCCACTGTGTTTGTCGGCCACTTTGACCTGGCTCATTTCCTGTCAGGTAAAAGCCCGTCGCAGTAGCTTCCCGCATCCTGACATGGCCCATCCATCCCTGAACACCCACATGCTCCCCGCCCGCTGCCCGCTTACGATCATCGCTCCCCTTTCTGCCCCAAGCCCCGCCCAGCCGCCTCCGACACCCTTGCCACGCTAGCGGTGAAATTAGAGCCAGTTCTCCACACTGCACAAAAACACACTTGGAAATCGAACCCAAAAACCCTCCCATTGGTCACCCACCTACACCACAGGACCAGAAGGGTCATGAAGTCTCTAGCAACAAACCAAACGCTGGAACTTTCAAGGGTTTGGCTTCGGGATGCTTGGGAGGTCCAAGGCCACGGCCGGCCGTGGATCTCTCCTTAGGGTGGTTGCACGAAATTTGTTGGGGTTTCTCCTCATCTTTGGAGCGAAGGGCTTGGGACGTACACTTTGAGCTTAGAGAAGCTTACTTTGGAGTTGCGGGTTTGAGTTTCTGGGCCGCTACGCTCTGGATAGATCGCAGCCACCATGCCCTTGCTCTTTGGAACGCAGTGCAGCATCAGGCCAGCTTCCAAAACTTAGCAATGGCACGCTCAGCTCGCCCATATTTGTCTGATGCCTACGGCCCCTTGCTGGACATAGTATATCATAGTATGGCAAATGGAAACAGCCTTCCACCGGGTCTGATGCTTGAATCTGAGCACAGGCCGAGGGGCTCGGGCAGAGACAGGGATCGTCGAGGCGATGTTTCGTCCTGCCTGGACCGAAGGTTTGTGTAGCTTGCGTATGCTTGCGTAACACAGCTGTGTTGAAGTTGTGCACATGGACTAAAGAGGCACGCCTGGTTCAGCTTGCCCTGGTTCTGCGGAGCCACGGCTCTCCTCGACTTGCTTACTTTGAAACGGTTTTGCAGTTATCTCCGCGTTCCAGGAATTTGATGGTCAACGTGGCTGCTTTAGCTTCTGTATGTATTCTGTACCGACGCGCACGGCGTTGCAAACTCCCACAACGCTGAGGGAGAAGCCCATGGGCGCCCCGATTGAGCAAGGCGTGCGGCCTGGGCGAAAGAGGCCATAAGAGGTTCAGAACAGGTTCTGGAAAAGGGTTCGCTTTAGAATTGGGCCTGTGCGTACTGCTTTGAATGCTTGTGCTACCAATCGAGAGCTTATCCGGTTCCTAACACAACGATAGTGCTCAGGGCTTAAGGTTGGAACTTGAAATGGCCAAGACTTCAGAGTGTTTGCATGTGTTGGTGTTCAACGGTTCGTAATTACTCAAGATTCGCTGTTTCAGGTTCAACCAATGGCCAACAAACCCTTCTGAAGCGAAAACTCCTGAATCAGCTGAAGTTCGGTGCTCATGGATTCAGGAGGCCCCAAAACAGTTGTGAAAGCTGAGCCCATGTCCGTGGCGATGAGCGGTCCATCGCTGTGGCTGGGCCAGCGAGGGCGATTTATTTCACCGCCGCCCGGACCCTATGTTTCAACAAACAAGTTGCCCAAACTCATGCCGGCCTAAAAGAACTGAGTGAAAGTCTTGGAGTCTTGGAATGTAGTGCTGTGAAGGGCTGACGGCCTCAGCGTTGCCAGGGACAAGGTTCCTTCAAATTCGGTTCGACTGAGCACAACGAGCGATCCACGACGGGCAAGACCTTCGAGCCGGAACTTCAACGAGGCAGTGCAGCACTGCATATTGCATACTCGCAAGTGTTCCTGTCAAGTGAAAGCCACGTCACCTTAGAAACTCAAAAGTGCGCCTTAACAGTGAAAAACAAGGAGAGAACCTGACAAACTTCAAAAGTCAAGCTACATCATTTGGAAGCTTACATCCTGATCAGCTTGGGAAGTTGGAGAGAAATTGCCGAAAGGCAAGAACACCGTAGAATACCGCAGAACCCCCCCAACCCCCACACGAGCACGAAGCTGCACAAAGCTGCAAGGCGCACTCGAGCTTTGCCCCAACGAAACTGAATCTTTTTGCGGCTTAGCTTGAGGGGCATGAGCCCTCAAGGTTTATGGTGCCAGGAGGCATCAGAAATACATTACGATCGTTACAATCGTTACGAGTATATACTTGGGAGCCTTCTCATGCGGAGAAGGACCAGGCCAGGTCGTTCGACTCGGAGCTCGCATCAGCATAGAGCTTGACCTGGAACTTCTGGTGCGTCCAGTCACTCGTGTAGTCCTGGGGCGCCTTGTGAGGAGAGGGGTAGGTTTCCGCGGAACTCAAAGAGATCATGCGGTTGAGCTTGGGGTTGTAGAAACCAATCTGGCCACCCCCGGCATCAACGAGGGCGAAACGCTCCGAGTCCCAATTGTCAGGCAACTCATGAGCTGCCTTGTCAGGGCTTGACATCAGAGGTGCGGTGTCGGTCATTTTCACGAACCTGTTGTGCCTTGCATTGTGAAAGGCCACCTGTCCGTTCCCAGCATCCACCACCGTGAACCTCTGATATGTCCATGAACTTGGCAACTCAAGGTCGAAATCCCTGTCAGGGCTTGGGTACAGGTGCCCATCTGGGTGCATGCTGATATACTTGTTGAACAGGGCATTGTGGAAACCCACCACGGTTCCTGGCTTCAAGAGCCACGTCGTTCGCTTCACCTGGAACCGTTCCCCTACCCAACTTTCTGGCACAGTGTCCCCAGCTCTTTCGTCAGTGCCCTCCACGCCGCCGTCTGTCATTAACACAAACCGGTTGTGCTGCGGGCAATGTAGGGCGATCTGGCCGCCGCCCGCGTAGACCACCTTGAACTTCTGCCAACTCCAATTGTCGGGGAGGTTGCTGGCAACAGCATGCGGGCTTCCATAGACATCACCGTCAGGTCTCATCGACAAGAACCGGTTGAACTTCGGGCTGTGGAGACCAATCAGGCCACCCCCGGCATCCACCACCGCAAACTTCTCTGATTTCCAGTCCGAGGGGAAGGACTCGAAGTCCTTTGTTGGGGAACGACCCACGTCGTCCCCGTTCATTTTCAGCCAGCGATTGTGGTGACGGTTGTAGAGGGCGATGATCGATCCCGGGCTGATCTCTGGTGGTGGCACCTCAGGGACAACGGCACTGATGTCCTGCTTCCCGAAGTCTCTCAAAGAAGCGATGGCTTTCAGCTTGGTGCTGGGGGACACCCAGGGCATGGCTCCCAAGACCAAGGTGAACTGGTCCACAATATTCAACAAGGGGATCCGCTTCTCAGGTGACTCAAAAGGTCCGAAGTTGATCTTCATCCCAAGCTCCAGGCTGTTGTCCTCCAGAAGACCCAGTATTTCGAAAGAGACCATCCCGGGATTCTTGAAGCTAAAGAGCTGGTGATAATCGGTGCCCGATTTGCCCGATTCAGCTTCTGACTGGAGAGTGCTCATGGTACTCATGCCTTTGTTGGCCTTCATGGCCTTCATGCGCTTTAGGACCTCCTGTCCGCGAACCTCGGATGTCTTGTTGATTCCCAAGTGCTTCCCGTACTCGATGGCCGCCAAGTAAAGGTCCTCATAGTCGTCCTCAAAGTCCCAGTGCTGCGGAGCCTCTCCCGCCTTTCCTGCCTCAGGGCTTTTCCGTCGCTTCTCCGTGGCCTTTGGGCTTCGGGACGTTGAGCCCGTTTGGTTGGTGGCAAGGAGAGAGGACCTGGACATGGTTTCCACAGTGCGATCATCTTCGCCAGAGTGACTGCCCACAGCAGTGCCAAGTGGATTCCGCCACGTCTCGTGGGCCCCGAAGATGTTGCTGTCCACGAAGTCCGTTTGGCTTCCGAAGCGCTTCTGTAGGCGGAGGGTCCGGCTGAAGAGCATCACGCCGCCGCTCCGTATCTCGGAGCGGAGGACGCTGAGGTCCAGGCCACCAGGCTGCTTGTCCGGCCAGCAGACTGTCGTGTCGATCTCGGCCAAAGGTGCAGGCATCAGCTCAAAGTTCAAGCCACCCACGAAAGCGAGCACGGGCTGCATGCCAAGTGAATAAGTCACAGTCACGCACTTCTCGATGGCCTGCTCCCAGACGTAGAAGGCGTAGCCCTGCCACTTGTCCCAATTATCCTTCATCCAGTCGTTGTCGCACGGCACACCATAGGGTTCCAGAGGGATGAAGGCATCGTCACTGCTGCCCTGCCAATCAGCCTTCCATGCTTGGTTATTGCTCCCACGCATGTTCTTGGGCGCAAAGGCCAAGCAGGAGCTGGTGTCTGTCTCCCTGCCATTCCACTGGGTGATGAGCCGTGTGGCATAGTTGCCTTCCTGGTCTGAGATGCCGAGGGCGATGCTGCCTTGGGGTTCGGGGTCGTCGTCTCCGCGCAAGGAAGCATCCTGTGATTCCTTTGCATCCTGCTGCGCCGCCGACATCTCCGACATCTCCCGCGGAAGCGTGGACTTTGGAGCGTGTTTGTGATCTTTGGGATGCTGGGAGTGCGTCTTGATGGTGAGGCTCTTCCCTGCATGGTGAAGCACGGGGGCTTGACCGACTCCCGGGAACTTGGACTCGGTAGCCTTCTGAATCAGGGAAGAGCCGTCATCCAGCACCTGCCTGACAACGACCGCGGCCACCTGGGCGAAGACCTCGACAAAAGGAAAGGTTGAGAAAGTGGAAGTCAAAGATTGAAAGACCCGTTTGCAGAAGGAGCTTACGTGAGATTCCAACTGGTCGCCCTTTCATGTCCCACCACCTCAACCCCCCACCCGCATCGATTGTTTCGACTTTTCTGAGTTTGTTTCTGTTCTTGTTCTCTCTCTTGCAGGATTTCCTTGCTATGCTCTACTCTACTCCTTGATTCCTCTCTCACTCTCTCTCCCTCTCTCTTCCTTTCTTCCTTCTTCCTTTGTTTCTGTTTTTCATGCGTGCCCACCTTCGCGGCACGAGCGGAGACTCCGAACGGTGCCAACAGTGCCAACAGTACATAGACACAAGACCGCACCATGTGACTTGGGAAGGCAGACCAATCTCTGCCTCCTTCCCCCTTCCCGACCCTTACCAAATTCGGTTACTCACAGAGGATGGACAAAAAGAAGGTGAACTTCATGGTGGTGTTGGAACCGCGGTGGGACCGCCCCGGGACTGCCCTGAAACCCCCCTCGCAGACAGCTCATGGAAGCTCTGTACCTGCTGGAAGTACTGCAGCAATGCTCAGGCTCACTGGTGCATTGATCAGAACTCGTGTGCATCGTTGCAACTTTGTCGGATGTCTTGCTTGCTTGCGTGCGAGCGGCTTGCTTGCTTGCTGCACGCATGGCCCCGCATTGGCGGCCTCTCTCTCTCTCTCTCTCTCTCTCTCTCTCTCTCTCTCTCTCTCTCTTACTTACTGCACAAGACATGGCAAATAAGGCCTGATTTAGAAAGCACGGCAGCACGCAGACTATCGAACCCCACCTCGATGAACTCCGTGAGCATGTCGCTCATCCTGTTCAGGAAGCTCAGCGGCGGAACCAGCTCTATCAGCTGCATGCCCAGGCACTTGATGATCTGGCGGGGCACGGAACGGAGGCTCGCAGCTTTGACACAGGGTTCAAGGCAGGTTTAGGGTTGCAAGAGGAGATTACAACCGGCGGCCAAACCACTTCCAGAGAAGCGCCAGGAGAACTCCCCTGTACATTAGTAGTGCTGCATAAATTCCTGGCGCTCAGCTTGTAGCGACACAACATTCGAATCCAGGGCTGCTTCCTTTGGGGAACTATACCTCTCTTGTTTGTGACACGTGTAGACCACTCGTGTGTCTCGTCATTATGATATTCGGCCGAGAGGAACCTGCAGATGTCGTTGCTTTCGATATGTGTGCTTGTTTAGACTGTGTACACTGTCGAATTAGCCGGGTAGGGTTTGCCGAGCCTCGAGGGCGGAACCGGACGTCGCACAGTCGACCAGGTCTTTACCCAAGTTGAACATGGCCCGGATCGGCGTGATACCAAAGGAGGTGACCGTCTTCAAAGGCTCGGGCCAATCGAGATTTACAGAGCCGAAGTTGAAATCGAAGAGATTGCAGGTCTGTCCCATAAGTCGGACCCAGCATTTCTGGCGACCCCAATCGACATGGATTCCGTTTCCATCAATGCTCATGTCTGGGGTTCGGGTGTCTGGGCAACCAGCATTCCAGTCGGAGAAGCCATTCACCAAGATGTCAACGGCCATCTCCACAGAGTCAATGACCGTGTTGGCCACGAAGCTCACCTGGTCGCTTGCAGCCTCGTATGCTGTGGTGGTTGGGCTTAGGGAAGTTGCGGGAAGTTGAGGGTTTCGACTTTCATAGTCGCACACGGGCAGGCACGTTTCGAGCAACTACAGCCCCCACGACTACGCAAAGAGAACTACGGAGCCAATGGGCATTGTACGCGTCGCCCAGTGCGTCTCCGACTAAGCCAGTGCCATCGTTGGCAGCTGCCGCGGCATCCACTGCTGTGTTTGCGACCGCATTCCCGGCATCGCTGACAGCATTCCCGGCGCTGCTGGCAACGTTCGCCACGGCCTTGAAGAGGCGGCGGCGCCTTCGACGCCAGCCGCGCCGGCGGGAAGATCGTGACTCGATGTCCTCCTCATCCTCAGCCTCAAGGAGGCTGAGGGTGTCACGGGTTTCAGTCTCGTCCTCCCTGTCACGCTTTGAGAGCAAAGTCCGCTGGCTCTGCTTCTGGTGCACTGCCGGATTGAAGTCCCGCTTCTCACGCTGGTGGTTGTGCTTCTGCATCACCCGCTTCAGCGTCTCCTGGGCCTTCTTTTTGCGGGTCTCGGGATGTACCTGCTTCAGAGACGCCGCAGTGTCATCGTGATCCAGGTCCAAGTGATCTTTCAGAACAGTGTGGAGGTCCTGGAACTCATATTCAAGGATTCAGAAGCGGCAAACCAGGCACTCCAGCAGCTCCCCCGCCCTCATCTTGTGTGAAGCTCTTGTACATTGTAAGTTCTACTACACAAAACTCGCCAGCGACTCTTCGCCAATCCTATGAACCTGAAACCTAAAACCCCCCTCCACACATACACACACACACACACACACACACTACAAATCACAAACTATCAGAGCTCAACCCTGACAATGAGAAGTCCCGATCTTCCGAAGTCCTGTTTCTCTCATGGGCTTGAACCAGCCGAAGTTTGGTTCGTCTGGAATCCCTTGAAGCACGAAGTTGAGACGAAGTGGTTCAGCACTGAACGCGAAGTTCTCTTTCACTGTTCGGGAATTTCCAGCGACACTCAAACGAATGCAAGTTGAAGTTCGAATCTTCAAACAGCCGCAGAATCATCGCAACAACTGCCTGCATCGAAGTCTGAACTGTAAAAGTCTTTGTGTGAGGTTCTTCTCAGGAAGTCACACGATCGATCTGTGAAGTGGAGGCATAAGGCGGTTGGGGATTCAGAACGCAAGACGTGGGACATGCACATGGGGGAGGTTCCAGAAGCAGTTGTTGAAAGGGTGTTCCCACCTGCCAGGAAGTGAGATGCCCGCCACAGTCTGAATCTCCTTGCCATGTAATTTCGGTTTCCCACGCCGGACTCGCAGGAAGAAGTTAACGACACAGCGAAGGTTCCATGGATGAAGTGAACCGTCTTCAACCATCGGATGCCCTTCGGAGCTCACCGCACCATAACGGGCACATTTTTGGATTCGGCTACACTGCAAGAACTGGCAGGTGGGGCGGGGTGTTGCATTCAACAAACAACAACATGGCAACAGGATTGATGCTGCTTCAAATTCGTCTTCCGGGTGGTCTTGGGCTGACAACAATGACGACGGTACCAATGCACCGTGATGAGGGAAACGATGGACATAAAACTTGCAGGGACGTGGAGATGGTGTCCGATGTCCATTTCATTGTGCACTGAGTCTTCGTTGGCAGAAGACTCTCAGGCACCCCTGAACCCTGTTTAGTGGTATGAGAATGGACTTTCAGTATCTGACTCATTAAATGTGGTGAAAGGCTGTTTGTCATGTAGCACACAAGTTCAGCGGAAAACCGGTTGCATCGTAGACAGCAGGATTCGGTGACATGTGAAGACCGAAGAAAAGGAATGATCACACAAACACACACAAGTGATGAGGCAGGGTTTCCTTGCGGATTCTAGCGGGGTCCTGGATCTCATGCTGTTGCATCTCTACCACTGTCTCGAGCTGGACGACCTTCAGCATCAAGAACTCCAAGTTGCGCGCGAGCTCGCCCATTCCGTGCGTTCCATTACCTTAAGAACACAAAACCAACTTTTCTGCAGGCAACCTAAAGGAGATTTAGAGCAAGAACCTACAAATGTCGTGTTTTGGTTCAAAGTACTGCTGGCATTCTCTGGATTTGGGATATTGTTCATCTCCTTCATGTCTTGTTCAGCGTTCTCGCCAACGATCATCTCCAGCTGCTTGTCCACAGTCCCGTTGCTGCCATTCACTGTCATGTTGATTGGGTATTCACGTTGATCCTCGAGGTGGCCAACGGATGCCAGGTGTGCCTCCGCCTTCACCGCCAAAAGTGAAGCTGCTGTGGCTGGACAGCTCGAACCAATGCACGGCTCAGCACAGCAGAGGCGGCCAAAGGTAAGGATTGCCAAGAGGCCCGAAGGCCAAGCGGTTGTCCAACGACAGCAATGCCCAAAGGACATTGCCAAGGTCATTGGGTCAGGAACAAAAGGTTCGAAAGCTTTCCGGGCTCAAATTTGAGCCGAGATTGCTCTCATATCCAGCACGTCCACGCACTGCTTGTCTGCCAATGCTTCAGCGCTAAAAAACGCCTTAAGCACTCAAGCACTCCAAACCAAAACAGTAATGCTCTCAAGAAGCTCTGGAAAAGTGCGACTTCGGCACCAACCCGCTCGTGGCACTTTGGATTTCGGGGACCGGGCCGTAGTCGTAGGGGGCTCATGTTAGCGGTGCTCCTGCGGAAAAGCCACGGCCGAAGCATGGTGGCCGGGCTTCTGTGAATGGGGACTTCTCAACAGTTCTCGCAAGGCAGGAAATCAAGGCAGCCCTGACATTTTTGTTAGTGCCTTCGGGGTGGGGGGGATTTGGGGGGTCCATTTATCCACCCTGGCCCAAAACACCATGTAGAGCGACACAGCGTAACCCTACAGCGCCAACACCTTGATGTTCCAAGGGAGGAATGCCAGCAAGCAATACTCGGAAGCCTTTGAGCTTCAGGAAGCTGCTGAGCTCTCAGTCCCCAACGTGAAGGACAAAAGGAGCTCCCTCAAGTTGGGGGCAAAAGCTGAGGGACTGCAACGGAATTGGAACGGCCAGCTCGAGGCAGCAGCTGCCGCAGGAGCAGCTGACCTTGGAGAAGGCCCACGTGAATAGGTAGGTGGCCAGGGCCCCAGGACTAGGTACTGGCCCTTGCAACTCCAGGTATCTCTTGGAGCTCCATCTGCTTTTCGAGTTTCGGGAACTCTGAAGCTTTAGGGTTAGGAAAAAGCAGTTTTTTGCCGAAGCGGAAGAGTTCGGCAAGTTTGCACACGGTCCGAAGCTGACACTTTGGAGGCTTCCCGCCTACAGATGGGAGATGCTCCAAAATATACTACATATAAATATATCTTTTTTACATACATATATATATATATTTATTTATTTATGGGCGTCCGCCTATTGCGGTTCCCCTTATTTTTTGTAGGTTTACATACATGTATATGTTTCAAACCCTAAACCATCGTAAACAACCACAGCAACAAGTCGATGATCATGTAGGCACCCCAACCCTATAGGGTTAAGGTTGACAGGTTTAGGGTTTAAGATTGAGGCATTTAAGCGTAAGCCCGCAATGAAACCTAAACCCTAACCGTTCAACCCGATACAGTTAAGGTTTAAGTGGTTAGGGTTTAAGATTTAGTCACTTTGAACTTTAAACCTAAAACCATAGAGTTTTAACGTTAAGGGTTGAAAGTTCGGGCAGTTAAAGCTTAACCCTGAACCGTGTAGGGTCAGGACCGTCAAACCCGACAGGGCTCCAAAAGGTTCAAAGGTTTTAACCCTAAAGGGTGCTGAAGGTATACATGCCTAGACCTTAGGCTATCCCAGTGACGCGAGAATACTGTGAGCAGATGTCCTTTCACTACTTCCTGGGATTCAAAATATACACAAACCATATCGTTGTATGATAGAACTCAGATTTTGCTTCTCGGGGGATGGTTGCTTGAGATATCTTAGCCAAGGTAGAGTGTTTAGGATGGATGTTTTGCTTTGCTTGATGCTTGTTTACATAAAACCAATCAACCCCGAACCATAGTTATAACCGCAGCAAAAAGTTATAACCTTGTCATATACATATATCCGCAGAGCTCGTCAAATCCGATCATGATGTAGGCGCCCCAACCCTATAGGTATAAGGTTGACAGGTTTAGGGTTTGAGATTGAGGAATTTGAGCCTAAGCCGGCAATTCAAACTAAACCCTGACCTTTAAACCTTATAGAGATAAGGCTTAAGGGGTTAGGGTTTGAAAACTCATAGAGTTCTAACCTTAAGGGTTGAAAGTTCGGGCATTTAAACCTTAACCCTGAACCGTTTAGGGTCAGGACCGTAAAACCCGACAGGGCTCCAAAAGGTTCAAAGGTTTTAACCCTAAAGGGTGCTGAAGGTATACATGCCTAGACCTTGGGCTATAGGGTTTAAAGGTTTGGGGTTTAAGGTTTGGACAATACCTATACAATAGAACCTTAAAACCCTGTTTGGCTTGGGACTTAAATCCCTAAACCTTAAATCCCATAGGGTTATGCCTACGTTTGTAGGGCTTTCATCCCGGTGACGCGAGAATACTGTGAGCAGATGTCCTTTCACTACTTCCTGGGATTCAAAATATACACAAACCATATCGTTCTATGATAGAATTCAGATTTGCTTCTCGGGGGATGGTTGCTTGAGGTATCTTAGCTAAGGTAAAGTGTTTAGGATGGATGTCTTGCTTTGCTTCTTGGGGCGTGATGAGGGTTTTCTTATAGGGTTACTTCCATGTATACAAATCAAACCCTTGAACCATAATTGTAACCGCAACCAAAAAGTTATAACCTTGTCATACACATATGTATCCGCAGAGCTCGTCACTTTCACTACTTCCTGGGATTCCAAATATAAACAAACTATATAGTTAAATGATGGAATTCAGCTTTGCTTATCGGGGCAGATGCTTCCTTGAGATATCTTAGCTAAGGTAAAGTGTTTAGGATGGATGTTTTGTTTTGCTTATTGGGGTGTGATGGGTTCCCTTCTTCTTATGGGTTTACATAAGTGTATTTAAATCAAACCTAACCCATAGTTATAACCACAGCAACAAGTTATAACCTTGTCATATAGATACATTTGCGGAGCTCGTAAAATCCGATGATGACCAACCCTATAGGGTTAAGGTTGACAAAGGTTGACAGGTTTATGGGGCACGACTGAGTCATTTAAATTTAAGCCGGCATTTGCACCTAAACCCTAACCTTCAAACCCTATAGAGTCAGGGTTTAAGGAGTTATGGTCTAAGGCGCAATCCCATATAGTATACGTATACTTATGAGCAAAGATTCGGCGGACACTGCTTGCGATTCAGAAACTTAGGAGCAGAAAGATACGGGGGACACTGCTTGCGATTCAGAATATAAGAGAATATGAGGAGCAGAAAAGATACGGGGGACACTGCTTGCGATTCAGAATTTTAGGAGTAGAAGAAAAACGGGGGACAAGGCTTTCGATTCAGAACTTTAGAGTAGAAAAGATACGGGGGACGCTGCTTGCGATTCAGACTTTTAGGAATATGATATAGAAAACTGTAATATGTAGGATAATATGTATAGAGATGCCACGGCAGCATCAGCTGCGGTCGAGCTGCCTCGGTTAAACCATTAAACCAGAACACCATTGTTTTCCCCCTTCTGAGAATCCCCTAAACCATTAAACCATTAAACCATAAAACCATTAAACCATGAAACCATTAAAAAACCATTAAACCATGAAACCAATGGTTTCCCCCATATGAGAATCCCCTCAACCATGAAACCGTTGAACCATTAACCAATAAACCAATAAACCACTAAACCAATGGTTCCCCCCTTAAGAGAATCCCCTAAAACATTAAGCCATTTAGCCATAAAACCATTAAACCATTGAACCACTGGTTTTCCCCATATTGGTTTAATGGTTTGGGGGATTATCATATGGGGGAAACCATTGGTTTAATGGTTGAATGGTTGAATGGTTTAATGGTTTAACGGTTTAATGGTTTAATGGTTTAATGGTTTAATGGTTAAATGGTTTAATGGTTGAATGGTTGAATGGTTGAATGGTTGAATGGTTGAATGGTTTAATGGTTTCATGGTTGATGGTTCAATGGTTTACGGAATTCTCTTGGTTGAATGGTTTAAGGGAATGTGCAAAAAAACAGGGAACCGCCAGGTAAAGAGGGCTGCCAGGCCAGCGCAGGCGGCACTTCTCCATCAGGGAGGAACACCGCGGCCCTCTATGACTCGAGGGTGGATTGAAGGCCCTGGAGCAGACTTGTCCTCCTGTGGGCACAGACCCCCATTAGAGGGTGAGTTGCAAGTGGACGTTTTGTACGGTGGCTGTCATTCACAGTCTTTAGTTCCAGAACGCCCAGACTGGCTTACCTCCATTGAGTGTCGGTCGGAGTTGTCAGATTCATCGTCGATGGCCGTTTCAACCACTTCCCGCGGTGCAGAGTGGCTGTAGCTACGCTTGCGGCACAGCGTCGATATCAGCAGCACAGTCGGCCGGTCTATTGCGACGAGGTGAGACGGCCACATGACTTCCGGGAGTAGCCAAAAACAGCCCAGAACAACACACCACACACAGAGAAAAGCAACGGAAGCAATCCAATCCTGCGCGGTCAACAGCTGTGAATTTAGAAAGAGATGTTTTAGAAATTCCCCCGCCTTTGCATTGGAAGGGCACACAGTAGACGCCGTGCGGTAGAGGTTCCAGCTTTACGCCTGCCGCTGTGACAGCGTCTCTCGCTTGGACAGAACGGAAGTAAGGTTTGTTGCCTTGGCTCTCATGCCATAAATCTTGTGTGGACAATCCACTCAGGGAGACAGACATCTACTTAGAGAGTCCAACTGTACAAGCAAGCGAGCGTAAAAGAATTCGTGACTACAAAGAAGCAACCGCTAGCGCAGAGGCCCTTATTGCAAGACAACTTAACGCAAGGCCAGTGAGGTGAGATAGGACCCAGGCACGGTGAGGGGTGGCTTATCAGAAAGTACACTTTCCGCATTTCGCCTAGGAAGGACAATTGCAGCAACCTTCTTCTTCCGAAAGGCTTGTTTGTGCGGAGTTTTGGCGATTTCTACCTCGAAATGCCCCAGAGGCTTGCTTTCGCTCTGACGCTCTTACGCCCGTCAATGAACCCTGAGTGGCAACCCTAAACCCTCAACCCCAGATCTTACCAGTTGCCTTGGGCTTCCCTAACAATATGCAGGTGGCTTCGAACGCAAGAGACAGACAGGGTAGGCTTATGGACAGCAAATGTGCTGCCGGCGACTGCAGTTGCATTGCTGGTCGCCTATCAAAGTTATCAAAGGCCAACACGACCAGAAACAGCATTTAAACGTGATGGTTAGGGAGCAATGTTCAACTTGGAATGACCGGATGCCAAAACCAGATTTAATGTATTCTGGACTGCAATTGCGC